ATCCTACTGTGGATGATACCAGTGCTGCTGTAACTGAAGAGATGCCACCCCTGGAAGGAGATGACGACACATCGCGCATGGAAGAAGTAGACTAAACTTCACCAGAACTTTGACGCTTACCTTCATTCCTTCTCTGATAATATATTTTCCAGGATTTTTGTTTATTTTTGTTAACGTTTAAAACATCTGTGTGGCATGTAAGCTAAGGGGAAGATAAAATTTCTTTCTACTTGTGATACTGTGATACTATAGGTTTAATTCAACAGGTTGGTAGAATGTTTGTTGTAAGACGTAATGTAACCTATTAACTTTGTGGTCTGAAGTGTTTAGCTGTTCAGAAGCTGGATTCCTTAGTAGACCAAATAATTTGTCAATTGGGAGTATTCTGAGATTTAGCTTCATGTTTAAAAGGAAAAAAATTAAGATGGCTTAAGTTTCATCTTAAAATTTTTCATCCCCTGTAGTCATTCTGCATGTTGTAGTCTTAGAAGAACACAAGCTAAAACAGAAGAATTCCCCATGTGGCTTGTTTTCCAAAGTACCGAAAACAAAACCCTATGCTTCCCTAGGTCTTGTAACCCTTCAAGTCTGAATGGAAATATAGTGCTTGGTCATATTCTACTTGAAAAGGTAAATACAGATGAGATTAAAAAAAAAAAAAAAGTTCTGCACTTCCTTACCTGAGACCAGGAGTTCTAGGTGGTTACTGGGAACTGACCATGCCTGAGGGATGCTCAAATCATACCCATAGCATGTGAACCTCCACCTCTGGTTGGGGGTCACAGGACCCACAGTGAACAGGGCTCCAAATTGCTCAGGGTGTATATTCGGTGAGGGCAAAGGCCTGGAGAACTTCTCATCTTCCTTCATTAGAATTAACATGTTATATGCCTGTTCTGACACACACTTAAGAGTCACGTTCCTTCCTGAAATAACCACAGGACTGGACAGGGATAAAAGGGTGACTCTGTTGTGCAAAACTCCTAGGAAAAAAGAAGCCTGTTAAGTAAACCCATATGGGAAGCATTGTTCCACTCTTCTCAGATTTGAGAAAAAGAGCCCCCAGTGAATATATACCTTTGCTTAAGGCAGAATCTTGGGTTGATAAAAGTCCTCTCACCTGTCACCACCAGCTCCAGGAAGTCACTTCTTTCTGACATACCATTATTACTTTTATATTCACACCAATAGTGGCCTGCATTGTACCATTCAACCGATGAGATAGAGAATGTGGCTTTGTTTTCAATTTCTAGAAGGGTTGGTGGTATTGGGTAATCTGGACTTCCTTCTTTGTAGAGAACATATTCTTTGGCCTCTAAAGGTCCTTCACAGAAGAATGTCACCTGGTTCCCAATGGCTACTGCATTTCTTGGCACTGACCAGAGTGTAGGTTTACAGAGGGCCCCTGAAAGAAAATTGACAGCTGCTTTCCCAGAACTCTCCCTCAGATGTCAGCTTCTCAGACTTAGGAAATTTCAGGTATCCCCAGCATTACCCCCACACCAACTGCCCTTCATCTTCCCTGTTCAGGAATTACCTGTGGACCCCACCAAGGATGTCCAAACTGGGACAGCTGAGAAGACACTCACCTGCCAGTACTGGGATCCTGAGGTCCAGACTCAGTCCTGCAAAAGAGTTAGTTACCTGTGAGAGTTTGCACTGAATCATGAGCATGACCTCCACTTCCAGATGCCTTATAGATCTGCTGAGACATCCTGATGGACCAATTCCTGGTTGTGAGGTGGATTCCCTATCAGATGAGAATTCTCCCTCCGCATTTGACAACTCACCAAGATAGAGTAGACCTGTAAAAAGGGGGGTCATGGCATCTTCCAGTTGCCACAAGGTTACAGAAGATCGGCCTCCTTTCCAAACACACAAAGTCACAAACCTGTGGCCTGTGCAGACTGGGTTCTGCCTGTGATCATGAGGAAGCCCCTGAGGAAGAGGAACTGCTCCAACCAGGCGCCTGACTCTTCTTTCCTCTGCTGTAGTGGGTTGGCTTCCAGAATTTGTGGCTTCTGTCTCTCCCTGGTTTCTTAGTTTTTGTTTCTGTTTCTGAAACAGAACCTCTTAATCCTCATGCAAGTCTCAGACTCCTCCTCCTAATCCTTCAGCTTGCTGAGTGCTGGGATTACTCGCCCAAGTCTGATTGCGGTCTCTTCCTTCAGAACATCTCCACTGTAACCATCTACATCTGCCTGTATGCTCCCAGTCACCACAGACCAGGACTTAATGCAAAATAAACCTGGTGACTTCCTGAGTCAGGACCTCCACTTGAGGGGCTCCAAGGTGGTTGGGCTTTTTCTCTCAGAGCTTCCTCTTGGTTCTCCTTTACTCCTGCAGCTAGACAAAACTCATGGTCAGTTTTCTAGCCTGCCTGGGAGATTCTTTGGGATGTTGTGTGAACTTTACCTAGGGACACACACACAATGCCTACACACCTGACATGAGACAACAATGATAGTAACAAAGACAAGACTCCACACAAATCTACCTGATGATGCAATGAGTTATATTAGGGTCCTTAGAAGCCTGTCATCAGTCTTGGTTTTGGGGAATATTTTGATTTGTTTGTTTGTTTGCTGAGACAGGGTCTCACTATGTAGCTCTGGCTGTCCTGGAACTCACTATGTAGTCTAGACTAGATCCAGCAACAGTCTCACATACTACTGTTGGGAAATGTGTGCTCCACTATGCTCACCAATATTGGAAACTTTTCAGTGGTTAGATTCATGAAAAAAAAGCTTTGCCTAAAACTTTTAACTGCCAATATTTCTAATGGAAGAGGAGTGGCCTTAGGAGCCTCTATACCATGAAGGAATATTCATGGGGCCAGTCTTGTGCAGGTGACCTGTGTGTAATCACAGCTACAGAGACTCAAGGACAAGAGTACTGCTGTGCCTGGAGAGCTCTGTTCTACAACAAGGGGAGATGCAGGCTGATGCTGCTGAGATCAAACAGAACAGAAGGGACACAAGAGCACCTGATTCTTCAGAGCTCCTGGATGAACACACGGGAGAAATCCATGGAAACAGAAAAGGAAATGTGGTATTCTCATGGCTCTTATTTGAGTCTATGCTAAATAATTTCTGATAGATTCATGCCCTTTTCTTTCCAACATACATGATTTCCATAGCAACAACCTCTCAGCATTTTTTCTTCATAGGTTTTCCTATTTTATTGTTCAGAATGCTTCTAGTTTGTGTGAAGTCTGAATTTGAATTAAGGCCTGTTCATCCAAAAATGTTCATTCCAAAAACGTTGGCATCCCATCTATGAGCCCCAGCACCATATTGATTGTCTAACATCAGCATCATTTTCACCATGCTTTTGGTTTCAGGAGTGCTTGTGACCTGGGTGTTCAAGGAATTATTAACATTCACACTGTTTTATAATGTAGTTTGGATAAAAGAAGGTTTTGGTCATGTAAATGTTATGGTTAAAGGGCCTCTCTCTGCTCTCATGTTTTGCAGATAGTTAATATATTACATGTAAAATTTGAAGGTCTTCAAAATTATAAGCTGAAATGCAGAGGTCAAAACTAAAGTTCCCAAAATACAGAAGGTTCAGTGTTCAAGAAAAGAGGCTATCAATAAAGGGGGGAGGGGCTTGCTCCTGACTCAATTTGATATGCCAGAGTTTTTTGACTACACATGGGAGGTTTTACACTCAGAGGAGTATATGGGAGTGGGGAAAAAGTGAGAATGAGCAGGAGGAGGGGAGGAAAGAGAAACTATGGTTGGAATGTAAAATGAAAAAGAATACTTTTAAATAAAAATATTAAAGATGAGACAGAGCCGACAGCACCCGATTGGACTAAGAGGTGAGTCTTTAACCTCATACCTGAAAAGCCCAGCCACTAGGCTTTGGTCCCAGGGGCACAACCCTGCCACCCTACAACTGCATCCATTGCAGTCCCAGTTTCAGGCCAATTGGCAGGCAGACCTACAGCACGCAGACCTACCACTTGAAGACAGGTCAGACTACCACCATCCCTCATCAGACCCCGTAACTCAAGTACCACCTCCCCCAAATCCCACCCACCCTCTGAGACTGCAACTGTTCCCTGAGACAGAGCCCTCCAGCACCCAATTCGACTAAAAGGTGAGTCTTTATCCTCATACCTGAAAAGCCAGCCCCTAGGATTTGGGCTCAGGGGCACAACCATGAGCCCCTACACCAGTACCCATTGCAGTCTCAGTTTCAGGCCAGTCAGCAGGCAGACCTATTGCAGATAGGTAACATTACCACCATCCACCACCAGACCCTATAAGCTACAAACCCCAGCCCTCACTACCCACCCACATGCCAAGATTGCAGCTACTCCCTGAGACAGAGCCCAAGAGTTCCAATTGGACTAAGAGCTGCTCCCTGAGACAAAGAGTCTATCAGCACCCACTAGACCAAGAGATCCCTCTGGAACAAGTGTATCAATCAGACCAAGAGAGCCTCCCTCAGACACAGACACCACTTGCACCAAGTGGAGAAAGAGATGGGTAAACGCCAGTGCAAAAATACAGTCAACCGTTGTGGATCTAGGCCCCCAGGTAGAGCGCTGGGAGTCTAATTAGCGAGAAAGAGGAGGGTTTATATGAGCGAGAATTGTTGAAACCAAGGTTGGATAAAGCACAGGGACAA